AAAAAAAAAAAAAAAAATACAGCAAGAGAAAAAACTCACATAGTTTACACAGAGGAGCAAATACAAAGATGATAGAGATTTTCCACTAGAAGCAATACCTGAAAGTACTAATGGAAGACAGTGAAAGTCAGTACTAAAGAAAGATGAAAACCTTGTCGTCCTAGGGGCAGTGCCTGTGGCTCAAAGGAGTCGGGCGCTGGCCTTATACAACAGACGTGGCAAGTTCAAATCCAGCCTCAGCCAATAACTGCAAAAACAAACAAACAAAAAAACCTTGTCATCCTAGAATTGTTTACTCAGCAAAAAACCAAAATCTTTCAAAAACAAAAGTGAAATAAATAATGACTTTTTTACACATAAAAGTGTCAGCAGAACTGCATTATTTTTATTTTTATTTTTTTGCAGAACTGCATTATTAGAAATATTAAGGCAAGACCCATATGGAGAAGAAAAGCTGTATCTATACAAAGAAATGAACACTACCGGAAAAGGTAACTTCACGGGCAAATACATCAATCTTTTCTTCATATTGAGATCTCTATAAAAGATAATTGACACATTAGCAAAAAATAACATTGATGTAGTAAGGGGCTTAAAATATAGTAATGTACAATAAAAATGGATGACAACAATGGTAACAAAATGTTGAAAGGAGGGGAGAAATCAAAGTATCCCAGTGTAAGTTTCTTACATAGAAAATGATATACTATCACTTGAAAGAAGACTAATAAATTAAAGCTATATACTCTAAGCCCTAAATCAACCATTAAAATAAAGTTATAACTAATAAGTTAAAAATGGAGATAAACAGAATCATAAAAATATTCAATCAATCCAAAAGAAGGCAAAAAAAAAAAAAAAAAAAAAACCAAACCCAAGACCCCATGAAAAAAGTGAACAAACCACAGATGGGACAAATAGATAACAAATAGCAAGTAGGAGATTTAAACTCAGTCATATCCATAATCACGTTGAGTATGAATGATAAAAGGTAGAGATTGTTAGATTGGATGTAAAAGCAAAACCCAATTGTATGATGACTATAAAAAAAGACACTTTAAACATAAGGGCAAAAATGGTTAAAAGTGAATGCATAGAAAATGATATACCATGCAACACTAATCAAAAGAAAGCTTAAATGGCTATTTTAATATCAGATGAAAGATATTTCAGAACAAAGAATACTATCAGGGAAAATGAAGGTAACTTAAGAAGACAGCATAATCCTAAATGCTTATGCATCTAATTACCGAGATTGAAATGCATGAAGCAAAAACTCACGAAAATGCTGGAAGAAATCCACAAATCCACAATTATAGTCAAAGATTTCAATACCGCTCTTAATAACGGATAGAGCAGAAATCAGCAAGGATACAGAGGATTTAAACAACCCTATTAAAGACCTGGAGCTAATTGACATTTACAGACCATTCCACCCAAAAGCATTCTTTTCAAGTGCACGTGAATATTTGTAGATCATTTATTTAGTCTTTATTAGGTAGAGGTTATCATCGTTATTTCTATTTGTAAGTGAGTAAACAAGGCCTGAAGAAGTTAGGTAACTCAGTTGTTCCGGGCTTAGAACCCTGGCTAGCTGACCCAGAACTCTTAATCACTAAGCTGTATGGCCTCCCCAGAGCACCTGGGGTAGCTCAGGTCTCTATGCCTTAGAATGCAATCTTTTTTCAATCAACAAAGGAATGGGCGACTCCAACAGCATTCTCTAAATATCACTGGGAAAGAAAGTACCTTCCCCCCTTTCCTCTCATATTCCCACTCAACCCAAATGGCCTGTCTGCTTCTTTTAAGTGACATGACTTATAGGAGTCATAAACTCAGGTTCCGCAGCCGCAGGGGCTCAAAGAGAAGAAGTCGCAGACCATGAAAGGTTCATACGAGCCTTCCTCAGAACGCATCCGCGTTGAATGGGTGGTCCTTTAACACATGCAGAAATCAAGCTTTTTGCTCCTCTTCAAATGCTGAGATCCAGCCAAAGACTCCTTTCCCCGAAGAAAACCCGTTTCGATTAAAATGTAGCAAAGAATCCTTAGCTCATGGTTGAATTTCTTGGCTTAATTGTAAGGTATATAATAATTACAACCACAGAAAAACTTTGCCATGTTTTCCGGGGCGAGGTTTCCTTATTTATTGGCAAAAAATGTCATGGAGGGGACCTTAAAATGGGTCTATGGCTGAGGCCTGACACTTGGCTGTCCTAGGGGAGGAAATATGAAATGGGGGCTGTGCGTGCTAAGCAGGGAATTCACACGGCTCAGCAAATGTGAATCTTGATAATAAAATAATGAACCAGTTTTCTCTTTAATATGAATTGGATACGTCTCATTCTTTCCCTGCACCTCTCCCATCCCTCCTCCCAGTCCTTTCTGCTAGACTTCCTTGCAGGGTCACCACGGGCTTCCTTCGCATCGACCGTCGTTCCCAGCTTCAATCACTGAGGACCCAGTTCTTGCTGTCCCTCTCATTTCCCTCGACAGCCCCCTTTCCTTTTCCTCGGGCTTCTTGTCCCTCCCCCAGCCCCGGCTCCACGTCCCCGGGGAGATCAAAGAGTGACAGGGTGGCTACCGCCCAGAGCATTTTCCAGCTCCCCCTCCTGGCTGGGCTGAGTCGAGCGGGCTGAGGAGACAGGAGGTCTGGGTTGGGGCGCATGGCTTCGGGGACCCGAGGCTTATGGAAGAGGTGTCGGAAGCCGTGTTGAATACATTAGAAAAACAGAATTCCCTTTGTGCTAGTTAGTGTGTGTCCCTCCGTCTGGGGCTTTGCCACACATTCTTGAAAGCCATTGTTGGCACTGGGGTCTGGAAGGTTGGGAGCGGACCCGACCGTGTAAGCGCTTCCCTGGGACTGAATTGACCCTAGAGTCAGTAGAGGGAAAAGTCACCCTCGGGGGGGCCTCCAGAGCAAAGGAGGGGGAACGGCTGCCGGCCAATCGGGAGGCGGGGCCGGGACAGGCTTCTCCTCCTCGCTGCTGAGCTGCGGAACCGTGCAAAGTTGGGAGCCTCAGTCGCTGGCCCGGCGGGAGAGCAGCGGCGGCGGCGGCGGCGAGGGCGGCGGGACTCGGGCCCTCGGCGCCGCAGGCTCGGAGCTGCCCCGGGGCATGGACCCCGCGCGCTGCCCGCACCCCCTCACTCGCCGCCCGGGGCCCGCGGGCAGATAGCAGTCTCGGAGGAAGTCGCGTCCAGACAAAAGCTGCGGCATCCTTGCCCTGCCCAGCCCCTGGAGGGATTCGAGTTTGGTGCCCGTCTGGGTCCGATTCTCAGCGCCAAACTTTTTGCTCCTTCAGGGACTGAGAGAGTCTGATCAGTTTCTCTGCGAGGAAAACGTCCGCCTGTTGTTGAGAAGGGCTAAGCACAGCGCTTAGGCGCTCAGGAAAAACCAAACCAAACAAAACACACAGAAAAAAAAAAAAAAGAAAGAAAGAAAGAAAAAGGAAAAAAGAAAATGATTTCCTGGGAAGTTGTCCACACACTATTCCTGTTTGCTCATCTTTTTTCTTCCCTAGCTCAAGATCCGAGCCCCCAGGCAGAGATCAGGGCTGAGGACATTCCCGAGGGGGCCTCCACCTTGGCTTTTGTGTTTGATGTGACGGGTTCCATGTATGATGATTTAGTTCAGGTTATTGAAGGGGCTTCCAAAATTCTGGAGACGTCTTTGAAAAGACCTAAGAGACCTCTTTTCAACTTTGCTCTGGTGCCTTTCCATGATCCAGGTAAGGGAAATACTTAATTCTTTCTATTTGCTGTGTCTCATGATTACATTATTTCTTATGCTGTGAAATTGTTTTATTGTCTGGAAGTTTCAAAATCATTTAAAGAAATGTGCAGCTGAATACAGTTATAAGAAAGAATTGCTCTCTGGCGTCTGGGTTTGCACTGTGATACTTACTTAAGTCCCAGCCCTGGAGTAGATGGCTTGCTTTGGGGGCTTGTACCAGTGGGCTTAAGGAAAACCAGAACCAAGAGTCTTGTCTCCAGCCGTGACATCAAAATCAGAGTCAACCGAGCTTTATTTTAGAACTAAAACATGCTTAATTATGAAGGCAGACTTGGACACGAGTTTATGGCAGCAAAGCTTTAAGAGCTAACATCCAGGTTGAAAGCACATTTACGCCTCTAACGTAACAGAGGCGGAAAACCTGTTGTGTGAGACCCAAGGAAGACTGTAAGTAATACCTGCTCCTGGAACTGAAAGTATGAAAAGGAAAAGAGAAAATCCATTCATTTCATAACTGAATCTGTTCATCTTTGCACCAGGTGATCATTTGTTAGGTTCAGGAATGGGTTTAAACATTGTGTTCATGTCTCATGCAGTAGAAATGTATGTAATTCAGTATGTCTGTGCTTCTCAAAGGTAGTTGAGGTGAAATAACTTTATATTTTGCCCTACAGCCAGCTGCGCTGTAATATGATCCTATTTACTTTTTGCAGTTTCTCTTTAAAGTAACACCACTCTCTGTGAGGCTTGTGGGAGCCCTCCTTGTCATCTCTGAGGGGAGCATTGCAGGGCTTGCTAGCTAATGTCCACCTGAGTTTCATTAGCACAAGTTGCTGCCAGGTTGAAGAAATAAAGCAGTGATTTCCTAGAAGCCCTCCCCCACTGTTTGCCCACATTCTTCCTGCTTTAGAAATTCTCCCTTCACTAGAAGACCTTGATACACCACCCTCTTCACAATGATAGCAGGATAGTGAGAATCTCAGATTCTTTCCTTGTGCATTTGGCAAAGATACTGAATTCAAGTTATTGCTAAGGATTAAATGTGCTAGGTTTAGGTTCTTTAAAAAAAAAAAAGGCACTGGGAGAAGTTAGAGGGAAATTGGATTTCCATGTTCTTCAAATGATGAAAACAATAACCTATCCTGCTCTTCTGGGATACAGGTATTTATTAGTAATTTCTACACTTAATTAACATGAAATGTTCTTTATATTTGAATAATGAATTGAATGGTTGTTTACTGTCGTCGTAAGACGACTTGTACGTGGTGATGTTTCAATTTATTAAATGTCAAGATGCCAATTGTGATGAAGTTTGAGGCTTTTGTTACTTTGGAGTAGTCTATGTTTTTTTCTATAGGGTTGACTCTGGTTGACTAACAGAAGGAAAAATTGTTTTCTCTAATTAATGCCACAATTTGCTTTTCCCCCAAAACGCTTGTGAAATCATGTTGCTTTAAACAGAACACAGAATTTACCTCATGTCATAAATGGAAGCTGAACTATTATGATATTTGGAAGGGATGTGAAACATTTTGGGAATGAATGGTATTGTGATGTGCTGCCTTCCAGTTGTTACCCAATGGGAAAGTTTGCACATGGCTGTAGTTGACTTTCCCATACTTTAGCCATCATGATGTGAAGTGGGGGAAACTTGGCATGCTAATAACAGATGACTAATAATTTAGAGTTTTTAAAAATTAAATTATATGAGAAAATGGTTAACTGATATAAATTGGTTTCATAAAATTAATGGTACATATAATTTAATAAAATTGTTATTATGTACATAGGAAAAATGGGAAGTTGTGACTTAATATGCCTTTATTTACAAAATATTCATTGCAAAATTTCACAAAATGTTCTATGTTGGGCACCTCTTCTATACACACGAAGTCTTCGTTCCCATTCATGGCCAACACATTCCAAGATGTCTGTTTGCCTATATATGGCGACTTTTGGGACACCCTGTATTTCTATTGTGATTCAAAATAAAAAGAAATGGCCAAATGTTTATGCTATCAAGACTACTTAAAATATTTTTGGCTAGAGAGAAACAGAAATTAGAATATACTCTTAACTTAAAGTTAGTATTCACTCTACCAGCTTGTAGTAGTGTATTTGTGTGACATTTTCTGTGTGTATGTATGTGTGTATGTGTATGTGTGTGTAACCATTGAGTTTTTGATTCCTTGTAGTTCTGACTGATGAGCAGCTTGGAATGATAGAAGAACCTGGCATAGAATGGCTGTTTTATTGAGTGACATTAGAAAAGTCAATTTACCTTTTGAATTTTTGTTTCCTTAACTGTAAAATGAAAGAACTGGATTTGAACATCTTCAGAGTCACTTCTAATTGTGACATTGTATAACTCTGTGTTTTACATCTGGTTGTTTTCATAGTCCCCAACACATAGTCCTATGGTTGTGTGATACAACTGACCAGGAATGAAATAATATTTAATATAACAATTATATTAAACCTTGAATGCTTATGGCCCTTTGATATCTACCATCACCTTTAGCTAGATTAAATAATGGATAAATTCTGGGATATAGTCCAAGGCTTTTGACAGAAAACCTTTAGAATTTTGCAGATGATGGCTCTGGAGCCCTACATTACAGTTTGGAGCAAGGTGTGTTTTTGCAGGAGGGGGGAAATTTAAAACACGTGGAAACTTAGACATAGAAGAGGAAGGATGTCTACCGAGTTGAAAATGAGATGATAGAACTGTTCAGAATATGTGCATATAGGAAGCATTGTGCTGGAGAACTATGGGGTAGGAATGCCAGAGAGGACCAGGGACATGGAAAGGCAAGTCAACCCTTTGCCTTTGATGTTAACTATGGTTAAGATGAGTTTTCCACCCACCTTGTAGTCATTTTTCACAGCTTTATTTGAAATGTAATTCCCTCACCGTACAGTTCATCCATTTAAAATGTATAATTTGATATTCTACAGATACCATACTCAATTTTAGAACATTTTTATGACCTCAAAAAGTACTTATCCTTTAGTCATCAATCTCCTATCCTTCTATCATCCTCCTCCCAGTCCTAAGCGAAAACAAATCTATTTTTCTGTCTCCATAGATTTTGTTCTGGATTTTCACATAAGCGGAATAATATATATTGGTTTTCTGTGACTTGGCTTCTTTTGCTTCAGTATAATGTTTACACAATTCATTCATGTTATAGCATGTATCAGTATTTCATAGCCAAATAATGTCCCATTGTATGATCAACTACATGTTGTTTCTCCATTAGTCTTTGATGGATACTTGGGTGGTTTCTACCTTTTGAAACATTATTATGAATAATGCTGCTATAAATTTTCATGTATAAGTTTCTGTGTGGACATAGGTTTTTATTTTCTCTTGGGTGTATACCTAGAAATGGAATGACTGGTTCAGGGTAACCTTATGTTTAATTGTTTGAAAAAATGCCAAGCTGTTTTCCAAAAAAGACACACTAGTTTACATTCCCACCAGAATTCCAGTTTCTTCACATCCTCACCAACACCTTATTATCAAAACTTTTTATTTTTACTTGTGGATTTTTGGTGTGATTTTTATCTAGCATTCCTGTCTTCCCCAGAACACAACCTTATGGGGGACTGATGGTCTCTGTGTAACGATAGCTCCCTTTATGACTCTGTCATTTCCCCTCCTCACTCTGAGATAGAAGGAGAGAGAACAGCGAAGTCTGTTTGGATGAGTTGCTTTACAAGAAGAAAAGTTGTCTTCCTTCTTATGTTTCACAATTGTGTCTCCTCTTTCTTCCCCGGATATCTTAGCCTTCATTCCTTCATTCATTCATTCACTCTTCTATTAAGTTTCAGTCATTGCTTCACACAAAAAGGACTAAAGCAGAAAAAATCTCTTGTTTTGCATTCTGTTGGGGGCGGGCACAGGCAATAAAGAAAATGATTAAAAGACATGTGGGTATGTTTGATGTTGATACTTGCTGGGGAGAAAATGAAAAGCAAGAAAAGGGCACAGGGACGCCCCCAACTGAAAAAGTCAGATTTGAGCAAAGACTTGAAGGAGGAAGCTATGAGGGTATCTGGGGGAAAGAGTGTTACAGGTGAAGGAACAATAAATGAAAAGCTGTTATGGCAAGAGCATCCTGACAAGTTCAAGGAACAGTGAGAAGACCAGAGTCGTCTTACATACAGCCAGGGGGGCAGTGCAGGAAAGGTCTTGTAGGCCACTGTGACTTTGACTTTTATACTGAGGGACATGGGGAACCATTTAATGTTTTGAACAGAGTAGTGACATGATCTGGCTTATGCTTTCACATACTCAGTTGGTTGTTTAAGAATAATCAAAGACAGAGGAAGGGCAGAAACAGAGAATAGACATGAGGCTATGATAAAATATCAGCAAAGGTGGTGGTCTATCTTGTGTGAAGTTGGTGGCTGTGGAAGTTTTGGGAAATGGTTGGAATTTTAGTATATTTTGAAGATAAAACCAGAAGGATTTAATGATGGACTGGATGTAAAGACTTTGGAAGATAAAGATGACAAGGCAGGTTTTCAGGATTTGGCCTGAGTGAGGCATGATTTCCATATGGTTTGTCTCCACCAAAACTCATGTTGAAATTTGATCCTAAATGTGGCAGTGTTGGGAAATGGGGCCTAGTGGGAGCTGTTTGGCTCTTGGGGACAGATCCCTCATGAATACATCAGTGCCCTCCCTTGATGATGAATTCTTGCTCTTGCAAAGTGTATTAGTTCCCATGTGAGTAGGTTGTTAAAATCCAGGTCTGGCTTCCTGGGTTTCTCTTTCTTGTCATGTGCTTTCTTTGCACACACCTAGCCCCTCTTTCCATTCTCACCATGAGGAGAAGCAGCATGAGGCCCTCACCAGATGCAGCCACCCAATCTTGAACCTTCCGGCCAATTAAATCTTTTTTTCTTTATAAACTACCCAGCTAGGGGTGGAAAATTGCAGCCTCCTGATGGTAAGATTGTTCTTTTTTAAGCCCTAAAGGAGGC